TAGGCGGTGAACCGACCTCGCACAAAAGACAAGAAACTGACTTCTCAAATATTATTCCCAGAAGATTATCTACATGAACCGAGGTCTGAGGTGACTAAATTCTAAAGCTGGTGACAAGAAGTGTTCCTGATTGAGCCACATATCAAATTTGTAATCATTGTTGCCCCCTCATTGCAATATAGACCACTTTAATAAAGCTGCTCAACATTAAATGCGATCTAATCTACCTCGTACGAAAAGCAAACGCACCATACTATAAATAGCAGAATTTATTATTGTACAAGGATCTTTTGGCGCAGATTGTACTTGCGTATGTAAAAACAACTCGGTTATACACAAAAACTGACCTCCTGTACTCATAAAAAAGACAACAATAATATAGAATTTACATCGTTTTTGTTCTAATTACACTTTTTTATCGTTGATTATCGTTGTTAAATTTCATACAACAATAGTATCATTATGAGACATCTTTATAGCACTCTGACTATCACAATGTAAAGCTGTAGACGACGACTGAGGTGCACAAAGATCAACAAGTAGTCGACGTAACCATAATAGCTCAGAAGAGAAATCAGCAAGACCACGGTACTCAGACCCAGCACTCGATCTGGAGACTAAGGTTTGCTTCTTACTACGTCAAGAGACGAGTGAATCACCCAGAAAGAAGCAGTACCCAGTAATGGAACAACGATCAGTAGGATCTCCAGCCCAATCTGCATCAGAATAGCTGCTAAGTGTCAAGGAAGAACGAGCCAAGATGTGTAAACCATGCAATAGAGAGCCCTTCACATAGCGAAGAATGTGCAACACCGCAAAATGTTGCGTGGTTCTCGGAGCAGCCATAAAGTGACTCACAATATGAACAACATGAACTAAATCAGGCCGAGTGACAGTCAAATATATCAAACTCCCAACAAGCTGACGATATGATGTAGGATCCTCAAGAATAGAGCCATCCAGTGGAGTAAGATGAACATCATAATCAAAAGGTGTGGAAGCTGTCTGAGAATCTGTGAAACCGGCCCGAGCAAGAAGATCAGAGGCATACTTGGCTTGAGACAAATAGAAGCGCCACCAAAGGAATCAGAAATCTCAAGACCCAAAAAAATAGCGAGGCTGGCCCAAACTCTTCATCTCAAAATGCTGACGAAGATAGTCTTGTAAATGGGAAATAACAGTAACATTATCTTCCGCGATGATCATATCATCAACATAGAGCAGCAAAATAATAATCCCAGATGAAGAGCGCCAAAGAAACAAAGCAGAATCGTGATCACTCCGTATTGAAACCAAACTGAAAAATGCAAAACTGAACGTGGCATACCAGGCACGAGGCGCTTGTTTCAAACCATACAAAGCTCGATGTAGACGACAAACCATCCCAGAGGACAAGGACCCCGGAGGAGGAGTCATGTAAACCTCCTCAGATAAGGCACCATGCAAGAAGGCATTCTTGACATCTAACTGTAGAAGAGACCATTGACGAACAGCAGCAACAACAAGTAAACAACGAACAGTAGTAAGACGAGCAACCGGTGCAAAGGTCTCTTCATAATCAATGCCGTACTCCTGGGAGTACCCCTTTGTCTTGATCTTATAAACCCATTTGCATCCGATAGGTTTCTTTCCAGCAGGTAGATCCATCAAATCCCAAGTATGAGTCTTCTCCAACGCCTGCAACTCATCAGCCATAGCTTATTGCCAAAATGGATCAGCACTCGCCTCACGAAAAGATCTAGGCTCATGATGAGATAGTATGGCCGAATAACAATGATAGTCAAGTAAGTGAGAAGGGGGATGACTTACACGAGTGGATCGTCGGTGATCAATGGTAGGTGAAGGGACCAAATCAGAAGAGGACTCAACAGGGAGCGTCAGTTCAGGATGCACAGGTGGAGCCACTTCAAAAGACGGAAGCATGACAAGCGTGTCAATGAGCTATGAGTCAGGACAAGTATTTGGAAAGAGATCAGAAGTAATGGACATGAAGAGAGGGGATGACGAGTCAAATAGAATGTAAAATTTAGACAGAATAAAAAGTAGTGTGCTACCAAAAGGTAACGTGATGCAAAATATGCAACCGATTAGCAATAGGATACCAACACCTAAACCCTTTGTGTTCTACCCCATAACCCAAAAAACAACACAAACGAACTCGATATTCTAACTTGTTCCGCTCATGGGATGGGAGAAGAACAAAGCAAACACAACCAAGAGGGCGTAACTGAGTATAATCAAGCTACTGACCGTGCAACCTTCAAAAGAATTGATATCTCGAAGAACTGATAAGGGTAACCGATTGATAGTACAAATAGCAGTCAAGGCTGCCTCACCTCAGAAATGATCAGGACACTTAGCAAATAGGAGAAGAGCATGAACAACATCAAGAATGTGATGATGCTTACATTCAACTCGTCCATTTTGTTGAGAAGTATAAGGACAGGAATGCTGAACTACTGTGTTCTGATCAGAAAGAAATTTTAGAAAAGTAGAATCCTTGTACTCAAGGGCATTATCAGTACGCAAGACCTTTATAGGACAAAAAAATTGCGTGTGAATCATTCTAGCAAATTGAATATATATGGTGGGCAACTTAGAACGATTTTTGAGAAAATAGATCCAGGTAAAACGAGAAAAATCATCAACAAAAATAACAAAGTACCGAAAACCATTCATAGAAGCAACCGGAGAAGGACCCCAAATATCAGAATGTATCAAACCAAAAGGTTTATCATCAGTTGAGCCGAGTGTTTTCCAAGCTTACAATGAAGACAACTAAAAGATTCAAAATGACCTGGACCTAAAAGACCTTTATTATATAAAGAACGAACTTTATTTGAAGACGCATGCCCAAGAAGAAGATGCCACTGAAAGATGGACTTATTATAGGTGACAATAGTAGAAAATGAGGAAGAACGAGGGATATGAAGAGACTCAAGCTCAAATAACCGGATCATATTGCGACCCGTCCCGAGAAGCCAACCCGTCTGTGTATCCTGAACCTGAACACCAGAAGATGAAAATATAATCTTAATACCTTGTTCAACCAATTGACCAACAGAAATAAGATTCAAGGCAAAATCAGGAATGCAGTATGTGTCAGGAAGGTGTAAAGAAGGGGAAGAAACCAGACCAGTGTGAGTAATATTCATATTGGTACCATTGGCAGTATGTATATGAGGCAAAGAAGTTACGGAAGACAAGGAAGACAAAAACTGTAGACTAGAGGTCAAGTGATTGCAACAGCCAGAATCAATGTACCAATGAGGGTTACCTACGGTAGCAGATATAGCAGAATTGGAATGGATAACCTGTTTGAGAATAGCTTCTATTTCTTGAAGAGTGTAATACGAGTGTTGAGCCTCATTAGTGACAGCCGCTGTAACTGAAGAAGGGGTCGATGAAGAAGACCCACTAGACCCTCGAAATCGAGAAAATGAACCTCCCAAACGTTGTGACTTGGCTGGACAATTTGGAGTAATATGCCCCCGAGCATGACAGATGTGACACTCTACCTTAGAACAAGTGGCAAAAGGGTGACTAGAGCTCTTGCAAATCCTACAATAATCACAGACTGGTGGCTGAGACTGATGCGACAGAGCGGAAGCTGAAGTAGGCGCAGCTAATGCAGACTCAAGCTGTGGTGTCCTTGCCAACTGAAGACGAGTCTCCTCAAAAGTGATCTCTTGAATAGCAGCATCAAGAGTAGGCAATGGATGACGGTGTAAGAGAGAAGCACGAACAGCCTCATAATCAGGACGAAGCCAAGCCTGTAATTTGAAATCGAGCAGCTAACAAATTCCAAGCCCCTTTGCACTGTCAAACGGGGCAAGCTGCACTTGAATAGTAGGGACTGAAGTATTACGTAACCAAGTAAGAATTTGATTGTTCTTACTATCCCAATCCTCCAACTTATCGACGTAAGCTGTAAGAACTTGTGGTGTGGGGTTGGGATCCCCAGAAAGAGACGGATGCAGAGGTGGCAACACATCACCAGTCACAATCCGACACAATTTTCTCCAAATTGAAAAACTCTTCATAGACTGTGCCCAAAGACTATAGTTATCCCCTGATAAGACAACACTAATAGGAGAATGCACATCTAAACGATCCATATCGACTAGTACAAAAAACACATTCTAGGGGTTACTTTTTATATCGGTTGCAACATACCCTATGTATAAAGTAGGACGATGGCATTTTTGTAATAAAATTATTGAACCCCATATACAAACTCAAGGCTTATCAAAATTAACATAGGGTTCTTGTCCACCACATATAAAATATAAACGATCTATATGCAATAAAACCACCGGTTATAAAAATTGTACTTTCTATAGCATTTAAAAACTCACCACATACAGATAGTGAATAAATCGCATTTGTACAAATTAATCATATTTACAATTATATTTTACCCAAAGTAATTCATCACTTAGGTTAAACAAAATTGACTCTCCAGTGACTGTTCATTTTCTGCTTCTCTGTCTGCGCGAGGCTTCAACCTTTCACTTCCGCTCACCGTGAAATTCCAATCCCCGCCTCCGTCTTTCCAACCCCAGCTCTGCCTTCGTTCGCCGTGAAACTATTCGGTTCCATCCTTCAATTCCGTCAGTCTGCCGTGAAGTTCCAGACACCGCTTCCGTCCGTCAACGTGAATTTCCAACCGCCGCCCGTCTTTGTAGCTCTGCCTCCGCACGTCGACAACACGTTCGGTTCCAGCCCTCTCTTCCAACAGTCGTGAAGTTCTAGCCCCCTGATTCCGTCGGCCGTGAAGTTCCAGCCCCTGTTTCCTTCCGTTGTGAATTTCTAGTCCCCGCCTCCGTTGAACACATTTTGCCTCCGCCACCGGCACTGCCGACACACCAGACATTCGTTGTGAGTTTCCCTACTGTCTCAATTCTCTGCAGACATTATTTTTTTTCAAAATTATTTTTGTTCTGTGCCTAGTTATTTCACCAAATTACTACAATTTGATAATATTTTGAAGTTACTATATGGACACGTGTTGTTAACTACAAGTTATTATATTTATGAATGATTTTATTGCTTCATGAGTTCTGGTGATGTCTAGTTGGTTTTTTCATTTCATGAGTTCTGGACCATATCCAGCTATTGTTCGTGCAGTTACTGTAGGAGAAGCATTGATTGAATAGCTAAGGCAACGAATAGTTTATTGTTGCCTGTAGGAGAAGCATTGGTTGAATAGTTTATGAAATTTGTGCTCGTAATTTATATAAATTAGTTTGTTAATTGAGAATATCCAAGTGAATATAATAAATTAGTTTATTATTAATATTATTATGTGAATATATGGAGGACTTTATGCCTGTCTATAACCTATTTGTAATTGAATATTAAAATTTAAAATTGGAATTCATACAGGATCATTCCTGTTAAGTTTATAGGATTATATCTCGATATTATTTTGCAGCAGTTCTGTTATATGGGTTTTAAGTGGCTCAGCTATGTTTACTTGTGCATGCAACTGGAGAAAAGAAGAACAAAAAAATCTCGGATGGTTGTATACTATTGCCTTTGAAGAAGTCGGGTGCAATGTTTTGGAGATGTTTGCTGTTGTTTTCGAGGGCGTGTCTTACTTCGTGTTATTTCTCAGTAAAAATTGTTGAATGCCATCCTCGAGCATTAGCATGTTCACGAAAAGATATAGTTATCTGTAATATCCCATTCAGTTATTAATGAAAGTAATTATTCTAAGTATGAACTAATTACTTTTATTAATGCTCATTCCTAGTTCCGAATCAGTTATTAAGTTATTCAGTTAAAAATTTGAATTTAAGTCGAAAGTATACTCGGTTCAATATTATTCAGTAATTGAGCCAGTTCAGTAATTAATTAATTCTAGTCTGTTTATTTTTATAAATGGATTTATAAGACGGGATTAATTAATATAAGATGACGAATAATCGATATTGAGTATATTTTGATTAATCGTTTAAGATAAGTAGTGAATTGAACGCAAGTATGTTCGGTCATGAGTTGCACTTAATTAAGAAATAGCCGAGCCTTAGTACTAAATACTTAGAATTTTTCTAAGTGTTTAAGTCATCAAGATAAGATCATAATATTGAGCCTTAGCATAAGTTGATACAAGTTAAGTCTCGAATTGTGGTTAAGTATCCATGAACATTTAAGTGATAAATGTTCAAAGAAATGAGAAAATTTATTTAGATTATTATAAGAGAAACCGAAATTTTTAGAATTTTCGGTTTTACAGTAATCGTTCGGTTTAAATCCGAATGTGGTTCCGTAAATGTAGAATATTACAAGATAATTATATTATATCCTAAGAAGCAATATATTCATTAAATTGAAGAAAAACTGTGAGTAAAGGATTTAAATTTTAGAATTTTCAGTTTTACGGTAAACGTTTGTTTTAAGTCCGAATTGAGTTCTGTAAATTGTATTATTCTCGGTTTATTAGCATGATACAAGACCATATATGAGCATTACTTTTCAGTAAAAGATTTTTAAAAATAAGCCATTTTGAAAGAAAATGCATAAGTAATAAAACAAAGGATGATTTTTATTATTTTTATTATTTTGTTCCAAAGATTTTTATATGATGAATGGTGACATTTTTTCAATAATATATGGAATAAATTACATCACATTAAGCACGAAATTTTGGTCCTCAATTGGTGAGAATGAGATGAGAAAATCACAACAAAGTTTTGTTAAGTCTTTAAGTTAGCATTTTTTTTCAACAATTGGTGAGAATTTTATTAAACTTGGTAGAATAAGTTTTATCTACCAAAAAGCTCATTTATGGCTATAGATAGAGGCCATTTTTTATGATTAATTATGTTTGGATAAGAATACAAGTTAATCATAAAATAGTTTATGATTAATTAAGTTTATAAGTTTAAATTGTTTATTTTGTTCATTTCTTCAATCCATTATGATGTTTTGACAATTTATGCCTATAAATAGAGGCTTAAAAATCAGAGTTCTTACACCAAAGTTAAGTACCAAAAGTTATATAAGAGTGTAATAGAGAGATAAGTAGTAGAAATTGTGAAGAAGTGAAAAATTTAGAAGTGAAGAATCAAGTTACGATTCTAGCAAGAAGGAGGTAATTTACTTATCTTAAATTTTTATGCTTAAGTTCATACTTTGATAATGAGTTTAGATGTTTATAAGTATGTATATGATGATTGAGAAGTTAAATTTATAATTGATTATATGAATACAAAGAGTTAAAGTTGTTCGAAATCAATTATATGATATATGTGCTTGATTTCATGAGATGTTGATAAAGATATGAATAAGCTGGAAGAGTATGATTTAAATGAATGATTCTTATGTAAAAGAGGAGTACATGCGAACAAGAATTAAGTGATTTGGCAAAGTATAGCTTGAGTTATGAATTTTTGAAGATGAACATGCAAGATGAATTTTATGTTCACTATGACTTTAAATTTTAATAACTTGATGTATATGCATGCTAAAATTATGAAATTTTTATGACATGTCTACTTATGAGTTGAGATTATGATTGTTAAATTTCATGATTTGAAGATGAGAAATGAATGAGTTATGATAATTACAAGGCATATATGTAAAGATGAGTATATATGCAAAAATATTCATGATATGATCAAGTTATTAAAGTGAGATTATTATGATCAATTCTCATATAAGTGATGAGAAATTTGACAAAGTTTTAGTTTAATATGTTGAGTATATAATCTTATAAAGATTGTATTAAGTATGACATATTAATATCATGATTAAATGTTATGATTAAAAGTTGAAGTATGACTTGAGTTTATTTTCACTTTCAAGTTAATTAAGTGAAAATTTAATATAAGCCAATATTTAAAATTTGGGAGATATGATGTATGATGAATTAAGTATTTGATTGAGTAAAAAATTAAGATGAGTTTATAAATCATGTTGATGATGTTGGAAAAAGTTAAGATGTTTGATGACTTAATATTTATTTGAGACATATTAAGCTTATTTAATATCTTTAAGATTCAGATAAGTAAGAGTTAAATGTTATTGAGTATACGAGCATAGTACTTAGTATATTTGTTTATATTTTTATGTAGCTTGCAGATATAGCTACCCAAGAGCAACACTTACATTTTTCAAAAGTTTTCAAAGGAGAAAGGTAGGGACCCAGACTGGGTATTACATTGAGTATAATATTGATATCATGTTCCACGTATGTATACAGTTTAAGTTATACGCTTGGGATGAGGAGGCATTCAGTTGTCTCAGAGTATATCCTAAGTTCTGATTGAGGCCGTTTGAGTTGCCTTGAGAAATATCCATCAGATAGTGCACAAGTATCCGATCAGATATCAGTCAGATTCAGTTTAAGTTACTGGAACAGATTTCCAGTCCAGATGTATACCAAAGATCATGATATTGTATTATTATTGTTGTTTACTTTAGTATGGGTGATTTCGGGGTACAAGAGAATCAGTACTCACCCCCATTGTGTTTTTCAGGTAGCAGGGTCGGGCCGGAGGTGTGAGCTCGAGATATGTCGGTATAATAAACCACGTTTTCAAGTATTTCCGCTATGCACATTAAGTATTGAACTTGCATTTCAGATTTCAAGTTTTTACCATTTCGAGAAGTATGAATATGGTACAGTTAAATGGAAGTTTAAAGGAAATCTGTTGACTTTATGTCTAAGGAGGTATTAGACAAAAGTTTAAAGATAAATAGATTTTCAAGAAGATGAGTTTGAGTAGCATCTCGAGTTAGTCGCAAAATATTAATAAGTATTTTCGAAGTAAAAGTTGCAAAAAATTTACTCTGATGAGCGGGGTGTTACAGGTGGTATCAGAGCTAGAGTAAGTGCTCTGTATACTAAAAGTTTAAGTTTCAGAAAACAGTTTTCGGAAAACCGACCACACCACACTCACACCTCGCCGACTATCAGGTAAGTGTTGTTAAAAAGTTTTCAAATATATTCAAATTTACTAAGTCTATGCTCAATGAGAATTCAGATATCCGAACTCTAGAAATCAGTCTATATGTTCAGATTAGTATTAAAGTTTGAAATCTAGTTAATCAAGTTAACTAGATAAAGAAAGAGACTCGAACATTCTAAGTTAAGCCAACAGATTAAGATTTGAGTTAAGATCTGACTATAAAGGTTGATTATGTATTTGAGCCAAGTATCAGAAGTAACGGTATTTCAGTATATAATAGCCAAAAAATACGGGTAAATCATGGGGGTTTGAAATAAGAACCAAAAGCCGGATAAGATCCTGTAGGCTTGAAACTGAACCGTAGAAATAAAGTTTCAGAAAATAGTCAATCTTTATAAGACAAAAGTTTTGATATCTTATCAGTTAGATATCATAAGCTAAAAATTGGCAAAGTTCGAGATTAAGTTATAAGATATTTTGTATTAGTACTTGTTAGTAACAGTACAACTATACAAAGTACTTTTCAGAAATCAATGAGTATAAGTTTAAGGTATCGACATATAATAGTCACTTAGCCGGGAAAATTATGGAAACCTAAAATAAGGGTTATTAGTCCGAGTTTAACTGAAGACTTGAAAATCGAACCTTAAAAGATATCAGTTAATAAGTATTAAATTCCAGATACCGACATAATTATTTAAACTTCTCGGAAGAATTTTTGAAGTTAAGCAAGAGTATTCTGGACATGTGAAAGTTAAAGATAGTCCGTTTAATAAGTAAAGACTATAATGTATTTTTATCTCTTTGGAGAAAGTATTTGTACCCAAAGAATTAAGTGATTTGGCAAAGCATAGCTTGAGTTATGAATTTTTGAAGATGAACATGCAAGATGAATTTTATGTTCACTATGACTTTAAATTTTAATAACTTGATGTATATGCATGCTAAAATTAGGAAATTTTTTATGACATGTCTAATTATGAGTTGAGATTATGACTGTTAAATTTCATGATTTGAAGATGAGAAATGAATGAGTTATGATAATTACAAGGCATATATGTAAAGATGAGTATATATGCAAGAATATTCATGATATGATCAAGTTATTAAAGTGAGATTAATATGATCAATTCTCATATAAGTGATGAGCAATTTGGCAAAGTTTTAGTTTAATATGTTGAGTATATAATCTCATAAAGATTGTATTAAGTATGACATATTAATATCATGATTAAATTTTATGATTAAAAGTTGAAGTATGACTTGAGTTTATTTTCACTTTCAAGTTAATTAAGTGAAAATTCAATATAAGTCAATATTTAAAATTTGGGAGATATGGTGTATGATGAATTAAGTATTTGATTGAGTAAAAGATTAAGATGAGTTTATAAATCATGTTGATGATATTGGAAAAAGTTAAGATGTTTGATGACTTAATATTTATTTGAGACATATTAAGCTTATTGAATATCTTTAAGATTTGGATAAGTAAGAGTTAAATCTTATTGAGTATACGAGCATAGTACTTAGTATATTTGTTTATATTTTTATGTAGCTTGCAGATATAGTTACCCAAGAGCAACACTTACATTTTTCAAAAGTTTTCAAAGGAGAAAGGTGGGGACCCAGACTGGGTATTACATTGAGTATAATATTGATATCATGTTCGAGGTATGTATACAGTTTAAGT